AAGTCATCCGCTCCACCCCGGCCTAGCCGGACCTCAGCGGGGCACAGCAGCCCCTGGATGAGGTCTCGGGCCTCCTCGGGGACGCCTGTGTCAGCCAGCGGCAGAGACAGGTGCTCCTGCACGGAGGGAGGAGGTGGTGAGGGCCTGGCCATCCCGCGCAGGGGCACCGAGGACTCTTGAACACAGGCGCTCACCTTGTAGTGGACGATCTTGCCATAGGTCTCTGCCGTGGAATCGGCATAGAAGGGCGTCTGCCCATAGAACATTTCATAGGCAAACACACCCAGTGCCCACCAGTCACATTCAGGCCCATAGCTGCCAGTCCCCGGCGCGCCTCCCACGGCTTGCAGGATCTCGGGGGACAGGTAGTCTGGAGTGCCCACGGCGACCAGCGACCTCACCTACATGTGCAGGACCCAGACGCTCAGCCCCTCCCCGGGTTCCACCGAGTCCTCAAGGGGGGGCAGGGCTGCCTCCTGGGCGCCCACCCCCTCACTGCTCACCGTTCCATCCGCCCGCAGCTTGAGACAGGAGCCGAAGTCAGCCAGTCGAATGTGGCCACAGCGGTCCAGTAAGATGTTGTCGGGTTTTATGTCCCTGTGGGGAGAGAGGAGGGCGGAGAGGAGGCCGGTCCCGAAGGGCAGAGCCGCTCAGCCCGCCCCCACCAGGGGTCCCGCTACACTCTAGATCTCGCCCAGGCATGCCTAGTGAGCCCCAGCCAACAGGATCCCTCTAACCAACCTCCCAGGTAGGTCCCGCCCCTCTGGCCACGCCCCTTCCAGCCACGCCCCTTCCAGCCACGCCCAGCAGCGCACGCAGCCCGCCTGTGCCTGTCCTTGCCGCCCACCTGTGCACATAGCCCAGCCGGTGCACCGAGTCTATGGCCATGACGATCTCCGCAAGGTAGAAGCGCGCCATCTCGGCTGGGATCCGCTCCCCAAACTTGCTCAGCAGCGTTAGCAGGTCCCCACCCACGTAGTACTCCATGACCAGGTACTGGGAGGGGGGTCCTGGGGTCAGCAGCCCTGCCCAGGCGCCACGATCGCTTCTCCCAAGATGTCACTCCCCTCTCACCCCATCCCCGACCTTCGGGAAATAAAAGACCCCAGGGGAGAGATCCCAGGTTCTCCTGCGGCAGAGGCCTCCCCGAGAGCTACCTCGGCCAGGCAAGAGCAGGAAAAGAGCGGTGGAGGTCAGCTGGGGCCTGGGAGACCGGCCCTTCCAGGTCGCGGTGACCCTCACCAGGTAGTTCTCGTCCTGGAAGGCGAAGTGCAGCTGTGTGATCCAGCGCCGGTCCCCGTTCACCAACACATCCCGCTCTTCCCGGAAGCATGACACCTGCGCCGGCAACCCAGAGAGCCGAGGGGCTGAGCCGGGAGGGGGCGCACGCCCCCGCCCCCCAGGCCGGCCCGGCCCGGCCCTCACCTCGCCCCTCTTCAGCATGTCCCATTTATTCATGATCTTCATGGCATACACCTGACCCGTCTGCCTCATCTTCACCACCGCTACCTGAAAGGCCAAAGCAGGGTGGCAACAGCGGAGGCGTAGGGAAACCACGACAGCCGCCCATTGGGACCTGGCCCCGCCCCCGGCCTCAGCCCCGCCCCCGTTCCCACCCAATCCCAGGTTCCCGCTCATTCATCAATTTCTAGGGCTCCGCCCGGCTCCCACGCCCCGCCCACCCCAAGTCAAGTCCGGGCTGCAGCCGCCCCGGGACTCACCTCGCTGAACGCCCCGCGCCCGATCACCTTCAGAATCTCAAAGTCATCCCTCTGCAGCCGGACCTCCTTAAGCCTCGCCGCAATGGGCTCCGCTGAGGGTGGCCGGGGAGGAGGGCCAGTGAGAACCCGGCAGCGGACAGCCCACCCCTGTCTCCCCCCTTCTCCACACACTTTCTGGGCTCCAGGACTCTACCCCCAAGGGCTCTCCCACATACACAGCACGTGAAGTTTTGGGAATCGCACCCCGCCCTCTGGCGGAGCTACCCTTTTGAGGGCCACTCTGGGCTAGGAGGACGCAGGATGGAAAGGATAACAAATTCCTGCAGAGCGGGCGATGCTGAAGAACAGAGGGAGACGGCCCTGAGCTCCAGCCCTCAGCGAGAGCCGCAGAGCTCAGTGTTTTGTTCTGTGGTCCTACGGTGTCACAGGCTGGGAGAAGGGGAAGAGAACCAGCCCAGGGGACAGCCAAGGATGCACACCCGGAGCGTTTGTGGAGGGTGTGCCCTCAGTCTCCTGAGGGAGGCAGGAGGGTGTTTTGCAGCTGGCAATCACAGTTCAAGGCTGAGGTCCTAGAGCTGGCTGGGGTGACGCTGGACACTGGGGGAGCAGGGGAGAGAGGCTTTGCCTCCCCGAGTGGAAGAAGCCTAGACCTGGGAGACAGCATGGAGGAGGGATGGGTATGAACAGGAAAAGAGGGTTCTAGTGGGTTCTGGAGGGGAGAGGGGTTCAGGGAGACTGAGAGGCCAACGAAGAACTACTCAGGGCCAAGGATGGGGGAGGGAGGAGAGAGCCAAGACACCCAGCCCTTTTAAGGCAGCAGGAGCCCAGGCCCCCTCCCCCGCCCCAAGGCCTAGCAGGGGAGGGCCCCAGGATGCAGCCCAGGCCACAAAAGGACTGCTCCTGGCAGGACAGGCAGACCCACGCTCCCACCCCAGGTCTCAGTTTACCCTGCCAGCCCAGGCCCATCTGCAAAAAGGGGGGGGGCCTGGGAGAGTCACTGAGGCCCAGTGAGCCTGGCCTGTGGCCTCTACTTTCCCATCTTTAAAATGGGAGAGGATGGGGTCTGGATCAGAAAAGAGACAGGAGGGAACGGGGAAAGTTGGGGACCAGACACAGTGCCCAATGAAGACAGACAGGGACATACAGGCCAAGAACCAAGAGGCAGACGATGACGGACAAGCAGAGAGCGCCAGGGTGCCAGTCACAAACTAGAGTGGGCAGGGGCTGGCGCGGGCAGGCAGGGCATGAGGCTGGCTTTGAGGCAGCCAGTGCCAAAGGCCTGGAAAGACCTCTGGGCCAAGGGGCTTTGTAGGACAGCTGGGGCTGGAGAACTGGGAGGGAGCGGCTGATGTTGGGGGAGGGGAAGTGGCAAGGACCCTGCAGAGTGGACACACCCAGACCCCAAGCGGTGGAGGGCAGAGGGTGCTGGGTGGCGCCTGTGTGCCGGGCTGCTTCCCCCTCCCAGGGCCTCAGTGACTCACCGGCCCTCCCTGGACACCTGTCAGGGTTCTGGAGAGGCTGGCGCCCAACACCTGCCTGCCAGCCACGCCCCTGGCAGCTGCCCGTGCTGCCCCTCCCGCTTCCACACACCCTGGGAAGCTAGGGTAGGGGGCTTAGCCCCCAGGGGAGGGGAGAGTCTGGAGATTAAGGGCAGGCTGTGCCCAGCCTAGGCAGCCATGGCTGAGTCATGAGTCCCCTTGGCCTCTCCTGTTGACCTTCTTGTCCCATTACTGATGACGGGCTCCCACTTTGCCCCAGCACCCAGGTCCCCCCCACATAGGGAAACCTGTGGGCATCCATCCTGCCCACCCCCCAGTTTCCGGGTCCTGCCCCTGCCCCCTGCCCAGGCAGCCCATGCGGAAGGACACTTACCCCACCGCAGGAAGTCCACCACGTACTTGTCCTGGGCCAGCTCTGAGGCGCCCAGCTCCTGGTGGACGCCCAGGAGAAGGTCGAGCAGGGGCTCCAGCCCCAGGAAGCCGGGGTCCAGCACCAGCTGTTGGAGCCGCTTCAGCCGCACTTCGGCTGACATGTCGGCCAGGCTGCACCATGGCCCCTTCCCCGGCCGGGGCTCGGGGTCCTCCGGTCACAGGGCCTGGCAGCCCGCATCCACGTCCCGGAACCCAGGCCACATGTCTGCCTGTCCCTAGCTGTTCCTGGGGCCTCTCTGGCCACTTCTCTCAGTGGCTGAGGCCTCCTCCTCTTCTCCCCACCCCTTGGTCCGGCCCCCCTCCTGCCTCTCAGCTTTAACTCTTCACAAGCCAGTACCCCCCCCAACTACTCCCTCCTTCCAGGGCTCCCCAGAACTCTTTAGTACCAGAGAGCCCAGAGAATCTCAACTCTCACAACAGCAGTTCCCCCCGCCCCCCCAAAAAGGAAGACGCAGTGCTGGGAGCCATAGGTGTGAGATCGGAGCCTTTCCGCTGCCCACACGGTGGTCTAGGGGCTGCCCAACCACCACTAGGCCGGGCACTGGGGGAAGGGGCTGCGCCTGGGCAGGGGATGGAGGCCAGGGCCGCTTCTGTGACTCAGCACCCATCCACTTTGGGGCAGTTCCGTTTACCCAGGACTCCTGCCTTTACACTCACTTTTTCTTTGGCAGGAGGTGGGAAGGGAGGGGTGGGGGCTGGGATCCAGTCTGGACTGGGGATTGGGAGGGGGTCATGTTCAGGAACCAGGGCCAGGGGTGGCCTGTTGGCCAAAGTTTGGGCCGCAGGCCGGTGCTTGATCCAGGCCCTCCCCAACAAAAAAGAGACCCTAAAATAGCTCCTTGGCCACAGGCCGGGCAGCACATTCCTGCCCAGACTGGGATTAGAAAGGAACACTGCAGGGGTGGTGGAGGGGAGGGGAAGGGAAGGCCGGGGGAAGACACCACAGGCCCAGGCTGGGGCACCAGGAGAAAGACCTGTCACAGAGGTGGCTCGGAGGGACTCCAGAGCTCCCCTGGGAGCCGCCTGGAGGAGCCCCTGGGATCACAGACTCGGGACAGCTGGGGAACTTCACACAACTTTCTAAACAAGGCCTGCTGAGGGCCCTGAGAGGGGGGTCCTGGCTGCCCCTGGGGGCGGATCCTCACTGGGGGGCGGGAATCTCTCAAAGGACCCAGCTCACTGCCACTGGTGCCCAGCGCCCTGTGCCTCGCCTTCCCCTTTCAGCCTGGCCCCGTGCTGGGGGAGGCCCCCATGCTGGGGGAGGCGGCTGGGCCAAGGCTTCCTTTGGTCCTAGGCCAGCAGCCCAAAGCACCAACACTTCCTCCCCCCAAAGGGAGCAGAGCCGCTGTGCAAACAGGGAACTTTAGTATAAATAAGAGTCCTGGGGGACAGGGAGGGCCCGGGGGAGGGGGAACCCCCCAGATTTAACACTCTTCAGAAGCACAGACAACAGCAAGGGGAGGGGGCAGCCCTCCGCTGCGGGGCTGGGGCTCCGGCGGGCGAGGACTCTCCCGCGAGGGTCCTGTCGCATGCTGGGGACAGGGCTGTGGACAACACTGACATTTCAGACCAGGGGGGTCATTGCACTTGGCAGTGGGTGGGGACGAGGAAGAGGCCACACAGGCCACTCTCCCCACACTGGGCCCGCCTGGGGGACCCCAGGGGTGTGCAGGGCCGGGGCTTGGAGCAGTCCTTCGCTCATGGTTAGTCTTGTTAATACGTTGATCCGTGAGGCCAGCGGGGAGGGTCACGGCTAGGAGGATGGGGGTATGGGGTGGGGACCCCCGGCATCCACAGCTTCACACCACAGTGCCACTTGGGGAGTTGCCTGGCTGGGAGGAGATCCCCTGGGGAGGATGAGAGGCAGACATGGGCAGGGTTAGGCCCCACTGGCTTCCGCGGGGGGGGGGGGGGGGGGGGGGGGGGGGCCAGAGTCGTGGAGGCTGCGCTGGGCCCGGCCCTGCCCCTCAGCTAGTGCCCTAGCACACGGCAGCTCCCTCACTGTCCTCGGGGGGTCGCAGGCAGAGGATGGGGACGGGGAGGGTGGAGAGAAGATGGGGCACTGGGGCCCCCTCCTGCCTTGGCGGGGGCAGTCCTGAGATGCTGGATGGGAGAGAACTTGGGGACGGTCCTACCTCTACCACTGACTCGCTGGGTGACCTGGGCCAACTTCCTTCCCCTGCCTGGGCCTCGGCCTCCTGGTCTGTGAACTAGGGAGACAGAGGGAGGTCTCAGTCATACTCCCCAAACCCCACCACACCTGCCTCCAAGGCTCTGTGACTGTTCTGAGTTCTAGGATCCCAGGGCTCCCCAAACCAAGGCTTCCATGGGCCCCTGCGGCTCGCCTGAAAAGCGCCCTGTGAGCAGTCAGGGGGTGACTGCTGAGGCACAGGACTTGAGGGATAGCCTTGGACCCAGCAGCCTCCCACCCTCACTTTCCACAGGGGATTCAGATCTCACAGTCCAAGAGCCATGGCACCAGGCTCCACTTCATCCCTGGTAGCCTAAGAACCCCAATTTCCTCCCCCCATAAAGAGAGTGACAAGTGTTGAGAACAGAGCCGGGGGGGGGGGGGGGGGGGGGGGGGGGGCAGTGGGGTGCTGTCCTGCCCTCTCTCTGCTGAGTGGGGCCGGCCAGCCCCACGGGCCAGGGCGGCCAGGGCGCGTGCGCAAGGGGCGGGGACTCACCGCCCTGCCGGGCCGGGCCCAGGTGCAGATGAGGCCCTCCTGGCAGGCGGTGATGATGCAGTCCTCCAGGAACAGCAGGACCGTGAGCCGCTCCTGGGCGATCTTCTTGCACACCAGTGGCTCGAGCAGCGGCACCTCGTGGATGCGAGGGCAGAGCGCAGTGCCCAGCACCTTGGCAGGATCCAGGCGGCTGCGGGGGGCCGGGCCACTGGGCTTGTCGCCGCCGCCGCCACCCGAGCCACCGCGGCTGATGTTGCCCAGGCTGTGGTAGCGCTTGTGCTCCTTGTCGGCGCCGCCGCGCTCCCGCCGCTCCTGCAGCGTGAGGGTGGCGAAGCGGCCGATGCTGAACGGTGCCCCGGCCTCCGCCGTGGCCGCCGCCGCCCCTGGGGCTCCGGCCTTGCCTCCGCCGCCGCCCGCAGGGTGCGGCAGGCTGTTGGAGCGGGACAGGGAGCGGGGCAGAGGGCCTGGGCCTGGCGGCGTGGCACCCGGTGTGCCCGGGAGGGTGCGGGCCCGGGCCAGGGGTGGGTGCGGGGACAGCACGTCTTCCGTGAGGTCCCACAGGCAGAACTGCGTGTCCTGGCCGGCCGAGCCGAAGCGGTAGGTGACCGAGCCAGCCCTGGGCAGCGGGGACAATGGCGCCCCGCTGCCACCACCACCGCCAGGCCCGGCCTCGGGATCCTCATCATCATCCTCGCCACTCCGGTCCCCCGTGTCTCCGTTGTCGCCGTCCCTGCTGGCCGATGCTGGCTCCTCGGCCCGCGTGGTGTAGGGGTCAAAGGCCACGGCGTTGACCCACGACTTGTGGCCGTGGCCCCGAGCCACCACGCGGCCCTCGGTGAAGGACCACACGGTGACCAGGTCGTCCTCGCCTCCCGTCACCACGTAGCGGCCGTCGGGGCTCCAGCAGACGCACAGCAGGCCCCCAAAGTAGCTCTTCATGAGTCCCCGCAGGAGCATGGAGTCGAAGTGGAAGACGCGCAGGCAGCCGTCCTGGCTGACACAGGCCAGGTGGCGGCCGTCGGGGGAGAAGGCGAACTCGTTGAGGGGCCCCTCACCCACCGCCCACTTGGCCAGCGGGTTGCGGGGGGCCTTGCTCTTGGCCGCGTAGACGGCGAAGCCCTCGCCCTGCTTCAGCAGGCTGTACTGGGGCGGCGCCGAGGCGCAGGGGTGGCTCACGTTGTACAGGTACAGGTGGCCGCTGGCGTGAGAAGCCAGGAACAGGTTCTCTGACTCCGGCAGCCACTTCAGATAGGTCACTTTCGTCTTGTCAATCAGGCGCTGAGGGGGAGACACAGGGCGTGGGCAAAGGCGATGCTCCCTGTCCCCCCCCCCCATCCCCCAAGACCCTAAGCCAGCCCCAGCCCGCCAAGCAGAGGAAGAGGGGCAGCCTGGGAGGTGGCCGCAGGGAGCTCCAGGGGGCCTCAGTGGCCATCTTCGGTAGAGGAACAGTCTAGCCTGCGGGAGGACTGCCCTGCGCCTATCTAACCCTGTCTCCATCTTCGCTAGGTCAGGCTGAACGTGAGACGCGTATTCACACCACATCCACATGGGGCTGCGGAGGCAGGCCCATGTGCCCGCGCAGGCGCAGAGCGGTGCACAGCCTTGCAGAAGCTCCCAGCAGCACAGGTGAACAGCGCCCAATCTGCCAGCGGCCAGGTCCAAACCTTCCAGGCTCCTCCTTTCTCACAGTTCACGTCCAACCCAACAATTCCTGTGGGCCCTGGCCCAGCCTTCCATGGACAAATAAGGTGGAGGGAGGGGGCGGAGCCCCGGCCCACCTGCCAGTCCTCAACGCCTGTGACCTGGCCCAGGACTGTCACCCAGACCATCAGAGATGCTGTTCAACACAAGTCAGCCCCCAGCACGGCCCTGCCCCACTCTGCAACTGCAACCCAGCTTTGCTCAACTTCTAGGCAGCCAGCGGTGGACCAACCATTTCCAGGGGTCCCAGTGACACCCCACACGCTGGGCGCTGAGGAAACTGGCAGTCCTGCACCATTTCCACCTGGCTCAGAGTCTGTTCCTCGGGATCCCGTGTCCCTCCAGGTGGACGCCACAGGCACCTCCTTGCCAGGACTCACCTACGTCCACTGTCCTCTCTTCCTTTCCTCCATTGCTGCTCCCAGCCTGTGGAGTGTCCTGCTTCAGTGCAACCTGCCTAGCTGGTCCCTCTAGTCCAACATCCCTCCCCAGGGGCCTTCCGCCTCCTCGGGTCCTCATTCCAATGTCACCTCCTGACCCTATGTCACATCACCGGGTGGCCGTTCATTCCTCCTGCCCTCCCATGCTGTGGTTTCCTCAAGCCCTGGGCACTTGCTGGTCGAGACACTGGGCCTCCCTGTCTGTCTCCACAGCCTGCCTGACCGTGAGGCAAGGACAGGCCCTTCTGTCCCTCAGCTGGCCAAGAAGTGCCTGGAACCACGCCTGGATCAATCACTACTTTGTGAATGAAGAAGCTAATGCATTTTTAATCCATTCACTGTCCCCTCGCTCCCTTCAGCCACTGGCTCACTGAGAACGCTTAAGGAACACTTCCTCTGGGTCAGAGACAAGAAGACAGGCCCAAGAGCAGTCCCTGCCCAGGAGCAGGTCATGCGCTGGCAGCTCCCTGGGAACCAAGCTGGTCCACACCAAGCGCTCTCCCTGGATGATCTCACAACGGTCCCATTTTTGTGGAAGGGGGAAATGGAGGCCCAGGAAACAATCACCTTCCCAAAGCACATGATGCAGCAGGAACTGGAATCCAAAAGCCATTAAACATGAATGGCAAGAGCATTAAGAGCCCTGAACAGCTCCCAGACTCAGGTCTTCCAACCTGAAAAATGGACACCACGATTTCTCTCTTCTGACAGTTTGAAAGCAGGGCCTCTCATTCCCTAACGCTCTACCCTTTCAACCACATCTCCACTTTGGGCACTTTAGTGGATAACTGGAGATAAGACTTTCACAAGCTTTTCTACCTGGGCTGGCTTTGAACTGTGATCCTCAGATCTCAGCCTCCTGAGGATGATAAGCCTGAGCCAGCCTCGCCACAACAATGTCTAACCCATCATCTGACAAAACCTTAAGTAGGACAGTGTTCAATGAGCACAAGGTTAGACCAGCAGAGAGTCTGGGTGTGGGGAGCATGGCGAGCACCCCTCTTCCCAGAGAGCTGTGTGGGAAGAAGCCTGCAATCACCTCCTCATTGAAGAGCTTGCTGGTGTCCTTCTTGATGAGGTCCAGGTACTGCACCTGGCCAGCCGAGAAGCCCACCAGCAGGGAGATGGTCTCCGTGGCAGCAGTGAACTGGTTGAAGTCATGGCAGGTAGGCTGGGTGCCCTTGTAGATCCGCTTGTCGATGGGCTTGTTGAGGTCAATGGACTTGTGGGGGGAAGGGGGGAGAAGAGGTGTATGGGTTTAGATCACTGAGAGGAAGGAAAAGGGAGTTGAGGTTGGGGAAAACCACTAACAGGAAGTAGAGTTCAATCCCAGAGGGAAGTGGGTAGATGGAGAGGGAGGGAGGGGCAACCACAGACAGGAAGGGGACTCAAATCACAGACAAGCTGGGGAAAAACCTAGACCACAAGCACAGCTCTTACCCACCCCCCCATTTGCAGTGTGCCTCTCCAAAGCTGGCCTCTCCCCCGGGATTTCGGGATACCCTTGCCCACAGCACCACGATGGGGTTCCCAAGCTTCCATTCTTTTCCAGGCCTCCCAGAGTCCATAACCTCAGCAACTTTCCTGGGACTTAACCTCGGGATCACCTAAGTCTGATGGACTCTTAAGGCCCAGCATCCCTTCAAACCTGAGGACCTCAGTCACAATTAAGAGACCCACCAACCCTCACGGTCTCCATCTCAGCGTCTCCATCACTGCATCCCACCCCTCTGGACCTATGTCCCTTCAGAGACAAATGCCCCTTGAGGGAAGACTTCCCAGCGTAGGGCGCCTCCATCTCCTCCATCACCCTGTCAGCCTAGAGACCCTCATTACCTCCACACCTCAGTTTTCTCTAGGACTTGTATTCACTGTTTCCTCTAAGACCCCATCATTTCCAGCATCTCCTTGAACTCCTGGGCTTCAGGAGCTTCATCATCCCTGGCTACACACACAAACACCTCCATTCTAGGTTCTCTTCCATCTCCTCAGTGCCTGTGTCACCCCAGGATACCTCGTTGGCCTCCCAGATGGTCTCGGACACTCCCACCCCAGCCTCAAGGCAGAGGGACCCCCCCCCCCCCACTCATCACCTTCTGGAATCCTGCAAGACTACGCCCTAGGATGCTCATCACAGCAAGGGTGTTTCCTCTAGACCCCAAGATTTGGGGGGGAACCACCTCCCCCCCACCCCAGGTAACTCAGCTACCCAGGCCCCCACGATGCGGGGCCTCACTCACCCGCTGGCTCCCGCGGCGGCAGCAGCCCGGGTAGAAATAGAGCTCGCGGCCCAAGTTGAAGCAGACGCGGTCCCCGCCGGCGCCCAGCCCCGCGGGCGTGGCGGGCGGCTCCCCGGGCCCGTCGGGCTCCCCGAGGCGCACCAGGCTGAGGCGCACGGCGGGCAGCGCGGGCCCAGGCCCCGGGCCTGCGGGCGGCGGGGAAGACGCGGGGCCGGCGGCGGCGCCGGGGCCCGAGGCGGAGGCCGGGCCGGGCGGGGGCTGCGGGGGCTGCGGCGGCGCCGGGGTCTGGGCGGAAGCGGGCCCCGGCCTGCGGGCGGCGCCGTCGCCGGGGAGCAGCTTGTAGAAGCCCTCCCGGGTGCGGAACTGCGACTTGATCTCCGCGCAGTCCCCCATGGTGGCGCCGGGGCCCGAGCCGCCCTCCGCGCCGCCCGCCGCCATCTTGGGCGCCCCCCGGGCCCCGCCGCTGTCGGACCTCCGCCCGCAGCCGGGCCCCCAGCCGGAAGCCGCAGGCCCCGAGCCGGAAGACGTAGGGTCGTCACCTTGGAGACGCTTCTTCGATTGGCACCTGAATGAAGAGGCGGGACCAACCCCGTTGGTCGCTCGGGTAACGGTTCGGGGTGTGGGCGTGGCTAACGGGTGGGTGTGACCTCCGTGCCTGTGACAGACTTGTGGTTGGCTACAGGGCGTGGCCTGCGAGGAGGGGGCGCGGCCAAGAGGAAAGCTCGGGTCCCTAACAACGTTGCCCTGGGAACCGTTTGCCTAGCAACGGAGGGACCCTCTGGAGAAGGGCTGGTCCCACCGCTTTCCCATGATGTCACAACTGATCCTAGGTGATGACTGTGTTCTTACACTATCTACAATGCCCCCCCTGACCTCCACTGCTCCCCACTGAGTTCCCAAATGACCACAGAGCTCCAACTTTTTTTTTTTTTTTTTGATGGTGGTGCTACTAGGCTTTGAACACAGGCATTCACCATGCTGGACCAGTGCTACGCCTCCACTCCTCTCCCCTAGGCCTTTTGTCTTTTGAGAGAAGGTCTTGCCAACATGTGCCCAAGCTGACCTCGAATGCATGATTCTCCTACATCCACCTCCTAAGTAGCTGGAATTACAGATGTGATTCCTGCCACCACACCTGGCTCTAAAATGTTATACTGAAGTTAACTTTTTTCTCTCTATCTCATGGTATTGGGATTTGGTCTCAGGGCCTCGTACTCTATCACTTGAGCTATGCCTTCAGAGTTTTGTTGGTGAATTGGAGATATCGTCAGTCTCATGGGCTTTTCGACCTTGGGTGGCTTTGAACCACGATCCTCAGATCTCAGCCTCCTGAGTAGCTAGGCATATGGGTATGTGCCACTGCCTGCCTAGCTTTCACTCGAATTTCCTCTCTCACTACTACCCCATCACTTCCTGCCTCTTTGAGGTTTGAGAAGTTATTCCCTTACATCTCATCATATCCTTTGGACCTTGGGCTTTTGCACATGCGGTCTTATTCTGTTCTTGGTCTTTTAATAATTAATTTTGAGCCCAAGTATGATAGAGTATACCTGGAGTCCTGGCAGTCTGAAGGGTGAGGCAGGAGGAACTCATCTTTGAGGCCAGCCTGGACTACACAGCAAGACCCTGTTTCAAAAAAAAAAACAAACAAACGGAAAACATTAAAAAAAAAGTTTTGTCCACATCTTGCAATTTGGCACTCTTTTTTTTTTTTTGTCAGTTGTGAGGCCTGAACTCTAGGCCTGGGCACTGTCCCTCAGTTCTTCAGCTCAAGGCCAGCGTTCTACCATTTGAGCCACAGCGTCACTTCTGGCTTTTTCTGCTTATGTGGTGCTGAGGAATTGAACTCAGGGCCTCATGCATGCAAGGCAAGCGCTCTACCCCTGAGCCACCTTCCCAGCCCCCACATCTTGCAATTTGGATTCCCCTGTCTGGGTTTAAATCTGTCCTGAGAAGGCAGAAGTAGAGAAGATACCTCATCCCTTCTGTGTCCCCCAGACCAGGCCTAGGCAGACAGGAAGTGCTTTCACAATTGTTTAGTGGCCGAGCATGGTGGTATACACCTGTCATCCCAGCACTGGGGAGACTGAGAGGCAGGAAGATGGTGAATTGGAGGCTGGCCTTGTTTGATGGCTAAATGGAGAAATGAAAGATATGGAGGCTGGGAAGGTGGCTTAGTGGTAGAGTGCTTGCCTCCCATGCATGAGGTCCTGGCTTGGATTCCTCAGCACCACATAAGTAGAAAAGGCCAGAAGTGGCGCTGTGGCTCAAGTGGTAGAGTGCTAGCCCTAAGCTGAAGAGCTGAGGGACAGCGCCCAGCCCAGAGTTGAGGCCCCACGACCGACAAGAAAGAAAAAATCCTCCCTGTGGCCCAGGCAGAGCCCACCAGCCCTGCATCTGGGTCAACAAATGTGAACCAAGCAATGACCCCAGCCTCCATGACACAAGGGGACATTTTATTAAGAACAATAGACCTGTCTTTTTCTATCCCTGCGCTCTAGGCGCAAAACACAAACAAACAAGGAAAGTACCATGGGCACTGGGGTATGGGTAAAGGGACTATTGCTGTCTGCCTGCCTGCAGAATGGGGCCGGAGAGTCTCAATCCTCCAGATCCTCCTCCTCCTCCTCCTCTTCGTCCTCCTCCTCCTCCTCAGCCGCCGCCAGGGCCTGCTCCTGAGCGGCCTTCAGCGCCTGCTCCTCCTCCACCGTGGGGTCGCTCATCTCCATGATCTCGGGGCCGCTGGGGTATTCCTGCTGAATGGGGGCCGGCAGGGCAGGGTTGAAGTTCTCAGGGCTGTATTTGTGACCCCAGCCGATGTACAGGTTCTCAAACTTCCTATAGGGGCAGCGAGACACCGAGATATTTCTTTTAAGGGTGAGATGAAATCTGGGTGGCTGCCAAGCCACCAGCAGTTTGGGGAACTGTACCCACTCAGCATCTTTGTTCACCTGTCCATTCTACCGAGACAGCCAGAACCTGTGCCACACAGGCGAACCCACAGCAACAGTGCCCAGCAACCCATGTGGCTGGCGTGGTGAATTCAGAATCCTACTTCATGTCCTCATTTTACGAGGAACTTCTTTAACCCAGTGATTCTTTATGGAGCATGTGGTTTGTCACAACATTTGTGAATCTCTCCAATTTCCTTCCCTCATTGATCTTTCTCTCTCCCTCCACTCCCCCCCCATTTTCTTTTAGATAGAGTCTTACTATGTAGCCTCAGCTAGCCTCAATCTGTGACCCTCCTGTCTCTGCCTCCCATGTAGCTAGGATTCCAAGTATATATCACTTACACATGAATGCCTATCTTTTTTGTTTTGTGCTGGTTCCGGGGCTTGAACTCTAGGCCTGGGCACTGTCCTTGAGCTTCTTTTGCTTAAGACTAGCACTCTACCACTTGAGCCACAGTGCCACTTCTGGATTTTTTTTTTTTCTGATCATAGGGCTTGAACTCTGGGCCTGGACGTGGTCCCTCAGCTCTTCAGCTCAAGACTAGTACTCTACCACTTTTATCCATAGCACCGCTTCTGGTTTTCTGGTGATTTATTGGATACAAGAGTCTCATGGACTTTCCTGTCCCGGGCTGGATTTGAACCATGATCCTTAGAACTCAGCCTCTTGAGTAGCCAAGATTACAGGCATAAACCACCAGTACCTGTCTGTCTGTCTGTCTGTCTGTCTGTCTGTCTGTCTCTCTCTCTCTCTCTCTCCTCTGTCTCTCTATCTCTGTCTGTCTCTCTCTTCTTCCCTCTCTCATTCCAGACCAGCACTTAAATACAGTATCTGATGATTTTGCTCATTGGCTGGTACTCTACCAATTGAGGCATGGCTCCAACCAATCTCTCTCTCTCTCTCTCTCTCTCTCTCTCTCTCTCTCTCATTCCTTCTTCCTTTTCATACTAGGGATTGAACTCAAGGCCTCAGGCTTGAGAAGCAGGTGCTTTGCCACTTGTGCTCTGCTAGTCCTTTTTTGCATTTTTGCCCAGCTAGCTTGGACTCTGATCTACCTATTTCTGTTGCCCAGAATTACTGGGAGGACTTAACCATTGGTTAAAATGAAGTGTGTAGACCTTGTTTTTTACCCCAGGTATGCTTTGAATGTCAGTCTCTCATTCTTAGGATGACAGGCTTGTGCCACTGTTCCTGGCACTGTTAATTTCCAGCTTCATCTAGGCTGCTCGGAAGATGCAGTGTGCACACTCTCAAGCACTGACTTTTCTGGGACTCGTTTTATGACTCAGTCTGTGGCCCTTCCTCAAGTGTGCTCCATGAGTGTTTGAGCAGAATGTGTATTCTGCCGTTGTTAGGTGGAGTGCATTTCATTTCATTTTAGTTAATTTCCATTCTAAAAATAAAACTGATACTTCATTTGGTTATTGGAAAGCTCCCAAGCATGCCTGGAACAACTCAACTACATAAATCTACTTTTTGCCTTTCTCTTAATTGCTCTTGAGGCAGGGTGATCCAGTATAGCCCAGGCTGGCCTCCAATTCTTCATCTTCCTACCTCTGCCACCTCAGCTCTGGGATCTCAAATGTGTGCCACCAAGCTTGGCAAAAGTCAAGGATTTCTCATAAATATTTATCATTCAAATTGGGATGTGCATTGCCAGGCTCCAGTGGCTCATGCCTGTCATCGTAGCTACTCAGGAGGCTGAGATCATAGTTTGAAGGCAGCCCAGGCAGGAAAGTTTTTGAGACCCTGATCTCTAGTTAACTAGCAACAAGCTGGAAGTCAGGCTGTGGCTCAAGTGGTACAGCATCCACCTTGAGCAAAAAAAAAAAAAAAACAACCTAAGGGACAAAGTTGAGCAGTGATGGCTTATACCTGTCATCCTTGTTACTCAGGAGGCTGAGATCTGAGGATCACAGTTCAAAGCCAGCCTAGGAAGAAAAGTCTGTGAGACTCTTTATCTCCAATTTAAAAAGCTGGAAGTGGGGGCTGGGAATGTGGCTTAGTGATAATTGTGCTTGTCTAGCATGCATGAAGCTCTGGATTCGATTCCTCAGCAACACATAAACAGAAAAGGCCAGAAGTGGTGCTGTGGCTCAAGTGATAGAGCACTAGCCTTGAGCAGAGAGAGGCTCAAGGACAGTGCTCAGGTCCTGAGTTCAAGCTTCAGGACTGGAAAAAAATGTGGATGTAGAGCTGTAGCTCAAGTGGTAGAGCACTAGCAGCCTTGAGCAATAAAGCTCAGGGATAGCTCCCAGGCCTTGCGTTCAAAACCCAGGACTGGTATATACACACAAACATGCAAAATCCAAGGATCAGCATACAGGTTCAGAGTTCAAGCCTTATTACTAGCACAAACAACAATGATATTGATGATGATGATGATGATGATGATGATGATGATGATGATGATGATGATGATGATGATGATGGATGATGGATGATAATTGCCAAAACTGTGGTTAAAATGAAACTCCAGAACCTGGAATACAGGTCCTGATTCCCATAATTGGTTTACAAAGAGAAAAGGTTCACGCGCTGTGTGGTCATCCTGCCATCTGGTGGATAGAGCTGGTAATGCAGCCACCGGAGGCCTCTGGGTCTAGGCTGAGCCCAAGGGCTCCCCATGGTGACCATCCAGATGACAATGTTTGCATTGCTGGGAGAGGCAAATGCAGAGGTGGTTTCGGCTCATCAGTCTTTTGGGAGCAACTGGTGGGATCCTCGTGGTCTAGACTTTTGCTCCATGGGGGAAAGACCATCCTAATAGGAAGAACTGTCCAGAGACCAAGGGAGACTCCCCACAGAGGAGCTGCAGACAGGATGGCCTGACACCTGTGCTGTGTGACCCTGAGACAGGCCCTTCCCCTCTCTGGCCCTCTGTTCCCTCCAAGGAACTCACAGCTTTGGTCTGGGATTTGCTGTTGTTTTATAACAGCCTTGCAATATAGCCCAGGCTGGTGTCAAAGCCTGGATCCTCCTGCTTGTACCTCTAGGGTGCTGGGATTACAGGAGTGCGTCACTGGGCCCTGTACCCTACTCAGACTTGAGAATTCTTATTTTAGCCCCAGTGGAACCCCTGGGTAAGAGGGTCATTTCCCTAGGACTCCTTAGGGGCTCCTTGTAATCCCTGCCCCTTTGGAGGGCTGCCTAGGAAATCCTCAGGGGCTTTTTTTTTGGGGGGGGGGGTGAGGGTGGGGAGAGACAAGGACAAGACTTACTTGCCACTAGCATAGGCATAGGCCCCCGGCCAGAGATTGGAGCGGACCACGGCCACGGAGTACTGAGGGCAGAGGCTGCAGGAGATGCGGGTAGTCCACGGTGACATGTGCATGACCTCTGCAGGAGGCCAACAGAGAGGGACAGTGTGGCCAGGGGGTCCCCGCACCCTGCCCAGTCCCCAGGGGAGGAGAGAAGGGAGGAGGATCAGAGAGCATGTGCAGAACTGTGATACCTGTCCGGCTTGATTCCCTGGCTCTGGACCCTTCCCCTGCTGGGGCCTCAAGTTTATCACCTGAGCCTCAGTGACTGCACCCAGGAAATGGGGACATTCGCCTGCGAGGGGGGGGGGCATGAAGCCGGGTGACAAGGGCCCCAGCAGAGCCAGGCTTTGCTGGTCAGGATTTTCCTCCCAGTGGGACCCTCGGTGGGGCACAGGCTGCTGAAGGCAGGGCCCAGGCTCTTTGCTCATAGAATTGGGATTCACTAACGGGTGTGGTTGGCTCATGCCTGTCATCCTAGCTACTCAGGAGGCCAAGATCTGAGGATCATGGTTCAAAGCCAGCCCGGGCAGGGAAGTCCGTGAGACTCTTATCTCCAATAAACCACCAGAACACTGGAAGTGACGCTGTGGCTTGAGTGGTAGAGCGCTAGCCTTGAGCTGAAGAGCTGAGGGACGGCGCCCAGGCCCACAGTTCAAGCCCCACGACCAGCAAAAAACTTGGGGTTCATTCTCAGGTTCCTCAGATTCCCAGCCTCTCTCTCCTCTTTCCTCCATCTCACTTCCTGTCCGTTCATCCAACCCCAGTTCAAGCTCACCTGGCCTGGGGGGGAAGGAGGGAGTTGGGCTCTGAACTCCAGGAGCCCCTGAGGAAGTGGGCATCCCGGTGTCTGCATTGAAAGAGGTAGAGCCAATGAGGCGGGTTGGGTGGACCTCACAGATGACCCCTCTGTGTCCACCTCTTTCCCCAGCTACGCCCGGAGGAGGCTTACCAGCATCTTCCGAGAGTGGGGTCAGCAGTGGAGGCCCAACCTCCTGCTCTACCTCCTCCATGGCCTCATCCGCTTTCTCCTCCTCCTCCCCCAGCTCCTCCTCCTCGTCTGTCTTCTGCAAAGGATTCACCCACGTGCAGCGGCCCTGGGGGCGGAACGGGCTCAGCAGGCCTGGGGGACAGACACATGGGGGACAGCACTGCCTGCCTTTGCTCTTCTGTGAAGTGGGGGGAGCAGGAGCCTCTTCCATTGGGCTGCTGGGTTTAGTGAGACCCTCAAGAGGCAAATAGTGTGTTTTGGTTTTTTTCTGTCTTGAAACACAATCCTGGCTTCTGGCATATGTCAGCATGGAAGGATGGATGGATGGAAGGATAGACGGAAAAATGAATGGATGAATAGTGCCAGTGAATGAGTAAGATGGATGGGCAGAAGAATGGATGGGTGGATGGATGGAAAGATGGATGATGTGGAAGAGTGGATGAATGGAAGGATAAACAGATAGATGGAAGGATAGATGGATAGATGGATGGATGGATGGATGGATAGAAGGGTGGAAAGATGAATGGATGAGTAGATGGATGGATGGATGGATGGAAGGATAGATGGATGGATGGATGGATGGATGGATGGATGGATGGAAGGGTGGAAAGATGAATGGATGAGTAAATGGATGGATGGATAAGATGAATGGGCAGAAGAATGGATGGGAGGCTGATGATGTGGATGAGTGGATGAATGGAAGGATGGGTGGACAGAAGATGGATGAATGGAGGGACAGATGGGTAGATGGGTGAATGGATAAATGGATGGTGAGAAAGATGGATGATGTTTAGGATAGATGGGAATGACAGAAAGATGGATGGAAAGGAAGGAAGAAAGGATGAAGGGATAGAGGGTGGATGGATGGGTAGATGGGCTGATGGGTAGACTGAGGATCAGATGAATGGGTGGATGATGGCTGGATGGATAGATGGAACTGATGGGCGCATGGCAGAGAGGGTGGGTGTGTATAACTCACTGGGGTGCCCAGCCCTGCTGTGGGGAGCCGGGATGGCGTGGGGTGGGTGGGGCTCCCTCCCTCCCTCCCCCCGCGGGGCCCGGGGCCCGCCCCAGCACCTGTGGCAGGATGTGCTGGGTGTGGTGGACCCAGTTGGCCATGGAGTCCACGAGCTCGAGCACGGGGATGCCTTCGAAGTCGGGGTTCTCCTCGAAGGAGTCGCGTCCGGCGCCACCCTCCTCCTCCTCGTCACCCTCCTCCTCCCCAAACTGGTAGAAGCCGAGCGGGCTGATGTGCGTGGCAGCGGAGATGCGGGCGATCTGCGCGCGCAGGTAGTTGGCCTCGTTGCCCGGGAAGGGCGGGAAGCTGGTGACGGGCGCGTCCAGGTGGCCGGTGAAGAACTTCTTGATCCTGCGGGCCTGCACGATCTGCGCAGGCGTCACGTGCGGGAGCCGCGTCCACGCGCGGCCCGGCTCGCTGCACACGAAGTACAGGTACTTGTTGGCCCCCGTGCGGCTCTCCTCCTTGGGGACGGTGGGCGGCGGCTTCCACTGGGGCTTGGGGACCGTGTCCACCTCCTTCTCCTCGTCCTCCTCGCCCTCCTCCTCGTGCCCCTCCAGCGCCTCGCCCTCCAGCATCTCCTCTATCTCCTCCTCCTCGCCCTCCTCCTCGCCCTCCCGGAACTCCACCTCGGCCACCAGGTAGCTGCAGCTCAGCCCCAGGATCTTGCCCCAGAAGCGGCAGGTGTGGATGGGCTGCTGCTCCACCAGCTGCTTCAGCGCCAGGTAGATGCGGAAGCTCTCGTCGGCGCTCAGCCCCACGCCCGCTTGCTCGAAGTAGAAGGCCGTCTCCATGATGTTGGGCACCGGGGTCTCACCCTACGAAAGAGGAAACGCGAGCTCCGTGAAGCCCCGAGTTAAGGAACTTCAGCCGGGCCAGGTGACTCTTACCTGGAATCCCAGCTACTGGGGAGGCAAAGAACAACCACAGAAGTTAGCTGGCGCAGGTGGCTCACACGTGTCAGCCTAACTACTCAGGGGGCTGAGAGCCCGTCCATCCCCAAGGCCCCGCCCACACCGACCCCGCCCGCTCCAAGGGCACCGCCCACCACAGGTCCCGTCCAACCCGTACAGCACATCACCAGGCCCCGCCCACAAAGTACGGCCCACGCCAAGACCCCGCCCAGCCCCGCCCTCCCGTCCCAGGCCCTGCCCACACCACCCCAGCCCCGCCTGCCCTCAGGCCCCGCCCATCCCAAGACCCCTCCAATCCCTCCCGCCAGCCCCGCCTCAGGCCCCGCCCCCGCCCCGCCCCCTGGCCCACTCACCACCTCTTCTTCCATCTCCTGCTCGCCCTCCCCGCCAGTGCTGGTCCGCAGGAACAGCGCCTTCTGCTTCTCCGCCATCTCGTAAGTGGGCTGCAGTTCAGGGTCGTCCCGCAGCGTGTCCAGTTTGGGGTGGAACCATTCCCACTGCGCGGTGCGGTTCAGAGACTCCAGGATGGACAGCGGGTCCTCCGGCCGCTCGTTGAGGATCTTGGTCAGCAGGTTCACCAGGTGTTCGTACCTGCCTCCCCGGAGGAGGGGAAGGTGAGGCTGCCGCCCGCGCTTGGCCCTGGGGACCCTGGGAGGGACAGACAACCGCCCTGCCCCTGTAGTTGGCACCCTGATGATGATGACAGTGGACAGCACGTGAACATGTCAGGCAGGGGGTGGCACGCAGGTGTCAGTGTGTAGTCTAGGCTGGCCACAAATCAGATCATCCTTATTTGCTTTTTGTGCCAGTACTGAGGCTTGAACTGAGGGCCTGGGCGCTATCCCTTAGCCTTTTTTTTTTTTTTTTGCTCAAGGCTGGTGCTGTACCACCACTTGACTCACTGCTTCACTTCTAGCTTTTTGCTGGTTCATTGGAGATAAGAGTCTCATGGCCTCCAACCAGGATCCTCAGATCTCAGCTTCCTGAGTAGTCAGGATTACAGGCATGAGCCATGGGCACCAAGCAGAATGTCTTTTAATACTTTCTGTTTAGACACATAGTGAGAACAAATGAGGATACTCTTAGGAGGGGAACACAAAGGAGCAATGCTTAGATGTTTTCTTTGTTGCTGTTTTTGTTCTTTTTGTGTTGTTTGTTCATTTGTGTGTCTTTGGGAGGGTGAGGGGGGCACAGCAATGGAGGGACAAAAGGTGAACAAATGCAGCAGTGGTATTCATTGGACACCATGTTGATAATGAACTGTAGGTATAAACTTAGGGTGGGGAGGGAAGGGAAAACCAGGGGAGCTCAAGGGAAGGGATAACATTGGGAATGTGGCTTAGTGGTAGAGCGCTTGCCTTGCATGCCTGAGGCCCTGGGTTCGATTCCTCAGCACCACATAAGCAAAAAGAAAAAAAAGCCGGAAGTGGCGCTGTGGCTCAAGTGGTAGAGTGCTAGCCTTGAGCTGAAGAGCTGAGGGACAGCGCCCAGGCCCAGAGTTCAGGCCCCACGACTGAACCTCCCCCCCCCCCCAAAAAAAGCTCAGGGACAGTGCCCAGGCCCTGAGCGCAAGCCCCAGGACTGGTGAGAGACATAGAGACAGAGAGAGAGAGAGACAGAGAGAGAGAGAGAGAGGGAGGGAGAGACAGAGAAATGTATTCATTACCTGACTTATGTAACTATAACCTCTCTGTACATAACCTTTATAACTATATATATGTGTGTGTGTGTGTATATATATATATATATATATATATATACATATATATATTTGCCTGTCATTTAACTCAGAACCTGAGCACTACCTCTGAGCTTCTTTTGCTCAAGGCTAGCACTCTACCTCTTGAGCCACAGCACCACTTCCAGTTTGTGTTTTTTTTTTTTCTGTATATGTGGTACTGAGGAATCAAACCCAGGGCTTCATGCATACTAGAAAAGCACTCTACCACTGAGCCACATTCCAAGCCCTAAACCTTCTATTTGAGCCAGCTGCTGATGGCTCATGCCTATAATCCCAGCTACTCTGGAAGATGAGATCTGAGGATCATGATTCAAAGCCAGCCCAGGCAGAAAATCTGAGACTCTCATCTCCATTCAACCACCAAAAAAAACAGAAGTGGAGCTATGGCTCAAGTGGTAGAGTGCCAGCCTTGAGCAAAAAACCTGAGACGATGCCTATACCTCAAGTCTAAACCCCAGCACTAACCAAAAACCAAAATGAAACCACCACCCTTCTATGTAGCTATTCTGGAGGTCACAGCCAATGCAATACAGCAAGAAAAAGAAAAAGGAAAAGCAAAATTGGAAAAGCAGGAGCAAAACTTCTTTGGCTTACAGGGAAGGTTGGGAAGTATGCAGAGGTCTTCAGGGAGGTGTGCCTGCTTGTTGGAGGAATGTGCAGTGGGGGGCTCAGTGTGGCTTCCATCCACTTATGCTGGACACTCGGGTTGGGGCCGCGTGCAATCATAACCATCCCTTCTTTCCAGAGGAGGAAAGTTGAGGTTTCAGAGGGTTGAGTTCAGCACTCATACAAAGATGGGACCTTGGGGACCAAGCTGGGGCAATTTCACCGGATACATATGCGAGAAACCTGCCATGTACAAAGTGCTTTGTGAACGATCCTTTCATTGTGTACAAGTACTGGGGATTGAACTCAGGACCTTGTCTTTATTCAACTTGCTGGTACTCTTACCACTTGAACCACACCTTCAGCTCAGCTTTTTGCTTGCTATTTTGGAGATGGAGTCCCCCGTACGTATTTGGCCCAAGCTAGCTTTTGAACTGTGACCTCAAGACCTCAGCCTCCACAGCAGCTGGGATTACAAGCGTGAGCCACCGGTGCCTGGTTGTGAGCAGGTTTTTTGTTGTTGTTGTTGTTAGTCAGCTATGGGACTTGAACTCTGGGGCTGGGAGCTGTCCCTCAGCTCTTCAGCTCAAGGCTAGCACTTGAGCCACAGCACCACTTCGGGTTTTCTGAGTGGTTTATTGGAAATAAGAGTCTCACAGTTTCTTGCCCAGGCTGGTTTTGAACCACAATTATCAGATCTCAGCCTCCTGAGAAGCTGAGGTTACAGGTGCAAGCCACCGGCATGGGACTTGTAAGCAGTGTTGAGCATGGAGGACCCTCACTGAAGCTGGGAAGGGGAAGAAGAGGGAACACTGGCCAGGGCATCGCAAGAAGAGGCCGCGAAGCTCCCAGTAGTGAGGTTTTGTTGTGTTGCTAGAACACCAACAAGTTAATTCTGACAGGGTTCTGGGGTCTGAGTTAGGAGCAGAAATTAATTTTGGGGAATGGGTAGGGGATACCACCCAGTTATCTGGACAGGTTCTCCCCATACTGCACCCCCTTCTCCTGCCTTTTTTCCCTTAGTCCTTACTGTTGCCTTATTATTTATTATTGCTGTTATTAGTGTGTATGTGTGCCAGTCCTGGGACTTGAACTCAGGGCCTGGGTTGTCTGTCTTCGAGGTTTTTTTTTTTTTTTTGCTTGAGCCACAGCTCCATTTCCACCTCTTTGCTGGTTCATTGGAGACAGATGAGTCTTAAAATTTTCCTGCCAGACCTGGCTTTGAACAGCGATCCTCCATTCACTCCCCAAGAATGTTGAGCTGAGTACCTGATAGCAGCTCTCTGGCAAGTACCTTCTTCAAGCAGGGAAGTTTAGTGAATAAGTACAGGGTCTAGCCAGGCATGGTGGTGCACACCTGTAATCACAACACTTGGGAGGCTGAGTCTAGAGGATTGTGAGTTTGAGGCCAGCCTTGGGCTACATAATGAGATGATACATTAAACAGAAAACTGCACAGGTCTTCAGGAGCCAAACCACCTGCTGCTGCTCTGTGGCTGTGTGATCTTGGATTAGAGACCCCACCCTCTCTGGTTCGGACTGGTCTGTGGTGTCAGGGGCTGTGTGGCTGGAGGCTCTCGTCCCTGACTCTAGCTAAGATGTGAGGTGGGGGGAGGTGCCCCCCTCCCCGCAGACCCCTCCCCTCTCACAGGCTGAGGTCGCAGCTGGCGCTGGTCTGCAGCAGGTAGGCCTTGGCGTTCTGCACGGCCAGCTCACGAGGCTCAGGCTCCGGCACGTCCCTGGTGAAGGACATGAAGGCCGGCTCCGAGGGCCCCAGCGTCGGGTCGTCCCTCAGGTAGGGCCCGTGCTGCGGGCTTTCTTCGAGTTCCTGGTCGTCGTCGGGGTACAGGTTGTACTGGGTGAGGAGGCCGACCCCCGGCTCCTGGTAAGGAGACTCCATGGGCTGGTAGAGGCCCGGGCTCATGGGAAGGCCGCTGGCGAACTCGGCTCCCTGGTAGGCGAGGGGCTGGTACTCGGGGGCGTAGCCCATGTCCATGCCTGGGTAGTCCAGGCCGCCCATACCTGCGTCCTCCCCCGGGTAGGCCGGGTACATGGGCATGCCGGCCTGGTACGCCGGGCCGCCCATCAGGTCCTGCTCATCCTCGCCGTATTCCTCGCCGTATTCCTCGGCCTGCTCCCAGCTGCCTTGCGGCTGCCCAGGGCGCTGGGAGCCCCTCCGGGACGTGGGGTCCCCCATGCTTCCAGACCGGGAGGAAGCTCGCCGAGCGGAGGCGAGGATCGGCGGTGACCGGCGGTTACCGGGGCGCGGGGCTTGGGCGCGCGGGGGTCCCCGGGCCGAGCGGCGCGGGGCGCGGCACAGAGGACGGGGCAGCGCGCCCTGAGCGCCATCTCCTTTATTTGTTTTAAGGCAAAGCCCCCGCCCGGCCCCCCGCACCCCCCCCCCCCGCCCCGTCAGCTGTTCCCCTGGGTCTCCGGCTCCCCCGCCTCCTCTGCGGCCGGGCTGGGGGTCTTGGCGGCTTCGTCCCCCGCGGGGCCGAGGCTTGGCGGGCTCCGTGGCTCCTCCTTGGAGGCGGGCGCTCCGGGGGCTGCCTCCTGCGGCGGGAAGGAAGGGCGGGGTTACCGCCCGGCCCCGCCCCACGGTCCTGCCCCGCCCCTCCCTTCCCAGGCCCCACCCTCCCCACCGTCCTGCCCCCGCCCCACCCCTCCCCAGGGCCCTGCTCCCGGCCCCGCCCCTCCCCTCCCCAGGTCCTGCTCCAGGCCCCGCCCCTCCCTGGCCCCACCCTCCCCACGGTCCTGCCCACGCCCCGCCCCTCCCCAGGTCCCTGCTCCAGGCCCCGCCCCTCCCCGGCCCCACCCCTCCCCACGGGCCTGCTCCAGGCCCCGCCCCTCTCCTCCCATCCCCAGGGCCCTGAGCTCCTGGCCCCACCCCTCCCCGGCCCCACCCCTCCCCACGGGCCTGCTCCAGGCCCCGCCCCTCTCCTCCCATCCCCAGGGCCCTGAGCTCCTGGCCCCACCCCTCCCCGGTCCCACCCCTCCCCAGGGTCCTGCTCCCGGCCCCGCCCCTCCCCCTCCCCATGGGCCTGCTCCAGGCCCCGCCCCTCTCCTCGGCCCTGCTCCCGGCCCCGCCCCTCCCCCTCCCCATGGGCCTGCTCCAGGCCCCGCCCCTCTCCTCGGCCCTGCTCCCGGCCCCGCCCCTCCCCCTCCCCATGGGCCTGCTCCAGGCCCCGCCCCTCTCCTCGGCCCTGCTCCCGGCCCCACCCCTCCCCACGGGCCTGCTCCCGGCCCCGCCCCTCCGGAGCCCCGCCTTCCCCTTCCCACCTTGGGCAGGGAGCCGTCGAGGCTGGAGTCCAGGAGCGCAGCCTCAGTCAGCCCCGAGTCGTCGTCCATGCTGATGAAGATGGCCGGGGTCTCGCCCTCGGGCCCCTCCTCCCGGAAGTCCACGGCCTCCTCGGAGGCGGGCGGGGGCCCGGGCCTGGCGGGGGCCGCGGCGGGCGCGGCGGGCTTCAGTTTCTGCTCCTCTTCCAGCTGCCGCTTCAGGGCCTTCTCCTGAGCCAGCCGCAGGCCCATGAGGTCCTGGGGGGGCCGGGGGGCCGGGGCGGGGGCCAGAGCCAGAGGTTCCAGGTCGTCCTGAGAAGGAAGGGCGGATCAGGGCGGGGGGAGGGGTGCACAGCGGGAGGGACCCCAGGGCCCTCACCCCCTCCGGGACCCCGCCCCACGGTCCTGGGACCTCACCTCCTCCAGGGGCCCGGCCTGAGGCTCCTTGGCGTCGGGCTCCTGCTTGCCGCTGGCCTCCAAGATGGTCATGATGGAGTTGGGGATGTGTGCTTGCTGGCGGAGGGCAGAAGGAGCTGTGAACTGACCTCGGACCTCGCAGGTGCCCTCAGGGGCGCCCGGTCCGCGGAGCCCTTCCGGATCCGTGGACCTCTCCCCCCTCCCGCCGTCCCCGGTCCCCGTGCCCGGCGCCCCGTACCTGGTGCGGGGTGAAGGAACGCACGTGCGCCAGCAGCGGCTCGCGGAGCTCGGGGCACTTGTCGAAGACGGCGCCCAGCTGCTGCGGCGGCAGCTGCAGGATGACCTGGAAGCTCTGCGGCTTCGTGCGCTGGCAGCACTTGATGAAGCCCTCCCACACCTTCGGGTACTTCCACACCTGGGCGGCAGAGGGCGCTGCTGGGCCGCCGCGGAGCCCGGCCCCGCCCCCGCCGCGGAGCCCCGCCCCGCCCCCTGCCGCCCTCACGGCCGCCTCTAGAGGGCGACGCCGGCCCCGGCAGTCTCCATCAGGCCGCGGGGGGGGGGGGGGGGGGGGAACCTCTGGAGGGCATGCGAACCCAGCCCAGGGGCCTCAGGCGCCGGGGCCCCTACTTCCACAGCCCCCCCCACTTCTAGGCTCCAGGACCACCGCACGGTCTTCCCGCGGTGGGCGGCGTCCCGCAGCGCGGGGACTGCACCCGGGCAGCCTCCGCCCCGTCCTGCCCTCCCCCCAGCCCCGCGGGCTGCAGGTCGGCCAGAGCAGCCTCCGGTGGAGACCAGGGCGGCCAGGCCGGGTTACCTGCTTCATGATGAGGCGGGACAGGATGTTCATGACGAAGCCCCCCAGGCGGGGGTACATGGTGAGGGACTGGATGACGGTCCTCATGAGCAGCATGGGCAGCGGGCTCTGCTCCATCAGCTGCTGCATCACCACAGCCAGCACCTCCGACGTGTACACGTTCCGCTCCGCAAAGCACAGGTTGGTGGCTGCGAGGCGGAGAGGGGGGGGCTGTCCTTTCCGCCCATGGCCCCCCCGGGATGTGGGAGCCTCGCCCCCACTCTAGCAGAGGGCCCTTGGGTGGGCACTGCCCCGGCCCTGGTGGAGGAGGCACCACGGCCAGTTCCTGGGTGCCTCGTGCCACGGTGCCACCATCTTAGCTTGGGGAGAAGCAGGGCACTACAGTGTGCCAGGAAGGGAAAGTGGAGGCCTCCAGAGGAGGGCTTCTGGGGGTGTGCATGATCGCGGGCAGCAGGCCCAGGGGCCAGATTTAGGGGACACAATGGTAACAGGGATGAAGGGGACAGTGGAGACAGGCCCCGGACCAAGCAAAGAGCTGGTGGCTCCACAAGCACCCATGAAGGCAGGTCCTGGGCTCTGTGCTCCCAGGAGCTGGGGGCAACATCCCCAACTACTGTGCTAACAGGGAGACCACAGGGGCTGCCCCCTGAAGCCCGTCACCCCCAAATACCACTGGCCATGTGAGTCCATCAACCAGGAAGTCTTTATTGAGCCAGGAGAGACACCCCCCCCCCCAATCCACAAGAAGCTAGGGGAGGACAAGGTGGTCTTAGAAAGGACAAAGGGGACCGCAAGGGGAGGCGCTGCAAGGAGGCAGATGGGAAGGCTGTTGAAGGGGGAGTAAGGACTCGCCAGGACCCAAAGCAGCACCCAGAGCCCCGAGACCTAGCTGCCTAGCACTGCAGATCCTACGTGCTCCCCCATCCCTTCCCCTTCCAGCGCCTCCACCGGCAGCCTCATCTTCTCTCCATGCGGCACCCAAAGGTGTTTCAAAAAGCTCAAGGGCCCCTTCCTTCAGCACTGGGGTGGCTGGAGCAGAACGGGCCATCTCCCTCATAAACCCTACTCTTGGCACAGTGTTCATCTTGGATCCTGCAGCCAGGCTGGGCCAGGCGGTCCCTTGGTCCTCACAGCCCTGCCATCCTAACTGCCCAGGGGACAAGGGCTGTTCCTGTCCCCACTGAATCCCAGCTTTACCCAGGACAGGACAGGGCTGACTGGAGATGTTCAGTAACTTTTTTTTTTGGTGCCAGTTGTGGGGCTTGAACTCAGGGCTTGGGTGCTGTCCCTGAGCCTCTTTTGCTCAAGGCTGGTGCTCTACCACTGAGCCACAGTGCCACTCCTAGCTTTTTCTGTGTATGTGGTACTGAGAAATTGAACCCAAGGTATCATGCATGCTAGGCAAGCACTCTACCACTGAGCCACATTCCCAGCCACACTTTAGTTTAGGTTTTTTGTTTGTTTTTGCTGTTGTTTGTGGGGTTTGAATTCTGGGCCTGGGCGCTGTCCCTCAGTTATTCAGCTCTAGGCCGGTGCTCTGCCACTTGAGACACAGCACCACTTCCGGTTTTCTGGTGGTTAATGGGAAATAAGAGTCACACGGACTTTGCTGCCTGGGCTGGCTTTGAACCATAATCCTCAAATCTCAGCCTCCTGAGTAGTTAGGATTACAGGCGTGAGCCACCAGTGCCTGGTTTTTATTTATTTTTTAAGGAGCCCAGGTTGGTCTGGGATTACAGGTGTATACTACCACACCCAGCTTTGAGCTTTCTTAACTGCTGGAAGATAGCTGGGGGGATGGAAGGGGTGCAGGGCATTGGAGGGGAGAGGACCATGTGCAGGGTGCCCAGGGCAGGCTAGGACTTGTCATCTGGTACAAAGTTATGAGTGGGCCAGAGCACTTGGAACCAAGCAGAGGGATGGGGGGGGGGGGGGGGGGCGGGGTTGGAGGGTGCAGCCTGAGACGGCTAGCTGCAGGTGTAGGAGCCCAGCTGTGTGCAGGCCTTGCACAAGGGAAGCAGGGTCAGGTTTGCTCAGCACTCCCCACCCATTTGCTTTTTCTACATTATGCTATAAGACTGGGCCAGGCCAGCTAGGATTCTAGTCTAGGTCCAGGAATTCCCTTGGGGGATCATAGTGTATGAATTCCCCTCAAATTGTTGACAATTAAAAAAGAAAAAAAAAAGGCCCAAGCACTCTCCTTCAAAGAGAAAATACAAACAAAAGGGGTGGTATGGTGCATGTAGTAGTGTGCCTGCCTAGCAGGTGGGAGGTTTGGGGTTCAAACTCCATATTACCACCAAAAAAGTGGGGTGTGTGTGTGGGGGGGTGGAATCTAAGACCATGCTTCTGAACCATGACCTTCAAAACCCTCCTCTGCTCTGTCTTCCCCTAGAGGTCTGGGGATCCCATACACCTTCTCTAGTCCTCTCCAAATGGGAGCGTGGCGGGGGAGGGGAGGAGCTGGGGGGGAGGGGAGGAGCTGGGGGGGAGGGGAGGAGCTGGGGGGGAGGGGAGGAGCTGGGGGGGCAGGGCCGGGACAGGGGATGTGGGGCAGCATCTGGACAGAGGGCACCTTGCTCAGGCGCACCCTATCTCACCCTGCTGTGTGGCCCTGAGTGACTCACTCAGCCCCTCTGGACTATCTCCTGTCTACCACATACTCACCAGGTGCCACGCGGGGTCACCGT